GGTACTGGTAGCAATAGAAAAATAATAGACACGACTCTACACCTACGCAGATGCACGTGTAGGTGCACAACATAAACTATGTATTGACCGCTATCAACCGGATCGTTCTGGGACAAGCACTCTCCTCAATTGTTAGGCCGCATAGTATGGTCATTACTAACTAGCGAGTACCCTCTGCGTATACAGTACTGAAATCATAGGCAATCAAAATAGAGAAGGCCCGGCTAGCGCCATTTGTTCAGCCAGCGACCTCTAAGTGAAGTACGTACAGAATTATAGCCCTGCTTCCTCTGCCTTCCGCTTCCTCGCGCCTCCGTTCTCTAAAACGACCTCATGTGGGCTGGGACAGTGGATACACCGATTCAGCGCGAGGATGACTTGACCCCTCGCATCGTTTAATGCAGCCAATGATTGGAGCTGCCTCTGTGCCTCCATCATGGTGAAGTCCTGCACACGGATGTATTCTGTTTTCTCTACGAGCGCGTCCTTCTGCAGGTCTATCTCCCTTTCGAGGATCTCTCTATCCATAGATACTTCGTCCAACTGGTCCTGCGCCTCTGTCAACGATCGTTGTAAAGATTCATTCTTCCTCTGCGCATCGCTAAGGTCCAGCAGAAGCGTCTGGTACATCTCATGTAGACGTAGGACCTCTAGAGCAGCCTCCATACTAGTGTGGGATATAACAAGTCTAATAGTCATCAGGGGAGCTCATTATAAATGACACTAGCTCGGCCTTAATATCCGGAAGTGGCTGCAAGTCTAGATTTATTAGGCTGAGATAAGTCGATTTCTTACTCCAAGGGCCAGGCGTGGCCTATGTTGGCCTATGATTTGGTCAATTACCGACCACGGTACCTACTACTCCTGAACCCGCGCATTTGTCATATTGCTTTTTGCACAGCCAAATAAAGCTTCGTCTTACAGAGGATTTTCGTTTCTTCGGCTGGTAGCCGGATTTTACTTTCAGCAACTACGGACTCTTTGGAATACGTCCTGCTCGTATTAATACCGTGTCGCATCATGATAGGGATGATTTGAATGAGGCCCAAGAAGCTCAACCTGACCAAAATCTTCCGCTCGTTACTTGACACAATGTCTGGCCAGATTTGTGAATCGAGTGACAGGCGACAACAAGAAGATTCACGTAGATTTGACCAAGCAGATGCTACCGTTGACCGGATCGCGGAACAGCAGCGAATAGCGCTTGAAGAACAAGATAGCTCGGTCGAACAGAGGCGACAACTATGTACTCGGCGTTGTGGTCATGACCGCTGGAAGTACCGTCGAGGTTCCTTCCGATGTGGAAAATGCCGTGAGTGGTTACCAGAGTATATTTATGCATGCCGTAATTGCTGCGCTCTAGCGTGTCGTCGATGCCGGTATAGAAAGCCCATCACTAGCCTTCGTGGGCCTGCTACCGTGCAACAATAGCGACGATCCTGTATGAGGGAGCTAGAAGGCCGCCTCGGTTGCTGTAGATGCCCCGAGCTCATGCGAGCTGTCCCCATCCTCCTAAAAAGCACTAGTGCACCTATGAGCGCGCGGGGGTTCTACTCCGCAAAGCCTAGTATCGCGCCTCATTCAGTGGCGCGGGCTGGACATATCTGAATTCCCCTGCTGTGCAAATATTATATATTGGTCTCAAGCACAAAATCTCGAGCCTCTGACTAGGACTATATATGAAAAAATATACCTAACTCTTCGGTTTTCGAAAAAAAAAACTTAGCTTGTGGCAGGAAACTCATTCAGGTCCCGTAGATGACTGCGAACGTGGGAAACGTCGCATGTATTGTACATCTAGCATTCAAACTAATTGTTAAACGTCAATAGAGAGGGCTCCTCCACTTGGGGCACAAGCCGTATGATGTACCGCTAGAAGTTATGAATTTATAGTCCTAGATACTATAACCTCTCTTGTGACTATGATGGTAGAATGTCTGTTGTGAGCGCCGTTACTTTCTCCTACCGCGGCTTCGGCGTGCGCTAGGGTTGTCTGGCCACTAGCACCACCAGGTGCTCCGTAACGGCCTCGGGAGCTAACGTCGTGCCGGCTTTGCTTGGAGCAGTGCTCCTTAGCCACGCGTCGGCAAACCGGTGCTAGAAAGGGCAGCGATGACATAATCATGCCCACGTGGAATTCGATCACGCCCCACATAACTCAGCATAGTCGATTTTCCGTCGCCGAACTAGATGCGTTTCATCTTTCATCTAAGCACAGCGTAGTAAAAAGGCCAAGCATAAACGCGCACACCAGCACAGCCACAATGACATCGGAGACGATTGTCAAGATGGAATAGACGGTGAAGGATGCATCGACAGGCAGACAGGTCCCCGGCCTACCTAGTTTCCGCGACTTCTCGATCTGCAGCGAAGGACCTGTCAGCTTGCCTAGCACCGGAAACAAGCATCGCACCCCATGGGTAGTAGCACTTTACCGGCTGACAGGCGAAGAGCAACGAACGACATGGCACTGCCGACGTGGCTAACTGAGACAAAAGCAATGGTGCACCAGATAGCCCGCGATATGCTTTATTGCTGGTGCCTTGCAGCAGGCGCAGGTAGCCGATAAGCAGGGCAATTTTGAAGAAGCTGATGCCGATCTGGTAGATAGGCCGGCCTGTATAGTTGACCTTCAGATATGTGACGATTTTTTGCGGCGGGCGCAGTACAAGGGGCAAGCCGAGACCATATTTTCGTTTCTGCACAGGGCCCACAAAATTAGTATTGCCAAATGATACCAGTAATACTATAGTACGTGCGAATAATGCAGAGAACTGAGTAGACGCCGGCGAATACGAGGCCTAGCAGAGCCATGAAGTCGTCAGCTGCGACGGTATTATTTGTCCAGCGAAGAGATAAACGCGTCCCAACAATGACGACGGAGAGGCTGGTCATGACTAAGCATATTGTAATGATGATTTTGTACTGCGTCTGCACGTTAATTTCCGCTGTTGCGTTAGCGACAAAAGCCATAGTTAATGGATCTGGCACTGGACAGGGCTACAGCGCGGCCTGTCCTTGCCGTGCCTTTTAAACAGCTTTAGGGGTCGGCGCTCGACGGCTAACCATAGTCCTTCGAGGTGCCTGCAACTGCTTAGACAGCGGTGCGAGCAAGACAGCGAGCAGCTTTGTTCAGCGGCCGTTATCTGCGGCCATTATCGATTGCCACGAATAATCAATGACTCCGCAAAACTCGGCGTACTAGAGGTTACAGCATGAAGTTAGTATACGCTGTAGCGGCGAAAATTAGCATTTTTTAGGTGACTAAGGGCTACGTGAGAGGTACCTTTCAGGTCCACTTCTTAAACAGTGTAAATAGAGACAAATCTTCTTATTTAAATGTAAAAGCAATATTCTTCTGAACATAGCCAGCGTCCAGCGCATCTCTCTTTTAAAAACTAGCTTATTAGCTCTAAAAAGCTGAAATGGAGATATAAAGTCAAGCTGGACAGAGTCGCGCCGAACAGGGTACCTAGTATAGGTTTAACGTCCGTAAACTGATCAGAGTTTGATTAGTGGCCTAGTTCTGCTGAGATAAGCCACCTACGCCTACCCTACTGTACCCGCCTACTTTTGGTTTTTTTACATAGAAATTAGTGGATACTGAGCCTAAACTGGTAAGATCATGCGTGACCAGAAAACCGTCCTCCTACTTCTAGTTAGACTAGTGGCAGCTAGGACTCTAGCACATGCTGTTTGCTAAGCTAGATGCTTTGCGGCGATGGCTTGCTGCGCTGACGCTGGGCGACTTGGTGCGTAACGGCGGCGCCTACAGTCGTCTGCAACCTTGCATTTTGCCAGTGCCAGGCAGCTTGCTCGGTTGCTGGGTTTGATCCTAGTGCTTGATATTAAAACTGTGGATCGGCTTCATAGCATTAATGATTAGAAGGTACGCTCTTAATCCTACGCTGTATTTACCTACATAATGTAGAATTTATATTAGTAGCTTTCAACCTGACTTACTTCCTGAGAAGCTAATCTGCTGTGACGTGAAACTTAAGCTACCATAACCTTCTCCCATCCAATCACTTTATTTTGTCCCGAGGCTCTCATATCCATCACAGGAGTAAACTTGCTATCAGTTGAAGGGTTTTTGAAAAGAGCAGTGTAATCGTAGTTTGGTGCATAGGGAATTCTAACGTAGCAGATGTCTGCAATTGCTCTCTTCCGAATGATCACTCCTTGAACCCCGCCGATGGAGGAATTAGGACAACGATGGATTACGTCCTGTTTATAGCAGATGACATAGGTACTAAGCTTATTCCAGCTTGAACGAAAAAGCCTTCTTGGGTCACTTATGTGTATCAGTTCGTCAGGACGAGTAGCCTCGCCGACGTTCAGAGTAATACCTGAGCCGTGAAATCTGACTTCATTTTTCTCCTTGTCGTAAGTATGCGGTTGTAGGCTATCAAAAAACTGCTGTTGAAAATAGTGTATGTTCCCTGAGTAGTCGTGCATTATTAAAGCCAGGTAACTTTTTTTAGTCCTGCCTTCTAATATTCGTGGCAGATCTCGGCCCGCTATATTCGGCACTGGGCGATAGCTGTCCGAGTCCGTCCCTGTCTCTAAGACGCGGTTAATCCATTTTTCATCTTTAAAAAAGTAGCTCCAGAACCGAGAGAAGCGCTGTGAGTTAGGAGACAGAGGCAACGCGTTCCGGGACAAAGGCGGGAGGTGTGATGCAACCTCATTCCAAATTTCAGTTGGAAGCCTCATTGTATTTCTGCCTTTGATGAAGTTCCTATTAAAGGATTCTGCTGTATTTATACGTAGTTACCCTCTCGTTAGCCGCTAGTGGTTAGGAGTCGAAACAGGATGCCACTCAAAGGCAGGGCAAGCAGGTACTCAAAAACAACCTAGCGGGGTAATTAGAATCGCTATTTCTAGCTCTTTAGGTAGTAGTTAAAATATACCCTACTAAAATTATTATGTTAGAAACCCGCGATATCTATAACGGTTTGGTTTGGTAATAAAACGCTACGCCTCCGTTTCCTTTGTGATGTCCTGCGTTCGATGGCACTGAATAGCTTCGCCACAGTCCTCATGAGCTTAGCAATGCTGCGCTGTGCAGTATCTGCCTCGTGACGTCAGCGCCGACGACGATGTATCGCGACGCGTGCGTCAAGGTCGCCTTGAGGTATGCACGACGCAATGCGATCCGCGAAACTTCGAGACAAAACCGGCGATTCAAATTGTGCTGGCGGGCAAGGCACTATAAGTCAAAAGCGGAGGTATGTCAAAGGGTGTAGTCGCAGGTTGAAAAGGCGGGGCGCGTATTTTGTCTTATCGGATGGTCTAGGCTGTGGCCACATTTGGCCTGTGGCTTTCGGCATCACTTTATAACGTCCTAGGCCTCTGACATAAATACTGAAGACAGAATCGCGCAAGTGTTCCCGGTTGACATAACAAGGTCTATAATGTATGCCGTACAGGTTTTCGAGCACAAGATCATCGTCAAGGAAGAGAAAACCAGGAGAACATATAAGAAGGTCGCGAAAAAGGACGGTCAAATTCTCATACTGGACGAAGACAACAGACCAGCGTACAACGTACGATTTAAGCCAGGTAGCGTGATTTGGATCGATCAGCTTGAGAATGCAGCTCCGGATCCTGCAGAAAGCCTGTCCGCAAACCTATCTGATGAACATAGAGAGGGGCATAGAAAATGGACTGACTATCTGAGAATCTCTCCTGCCGCAGATGGCGGAAAAATACCATATATTGTCGAGAACGTCGAAAACTCTGAGACACCTGTTCTCAAACTGCGGTGCTCTTTGAGAGGGCCTTTTAAATGGGTTTCTATCTATGGGGAAAATGAGCACGATTGGGAAGGGATTGCCCGAGCGGAGGGAGCGAAGGGGAAGGGCATGTTTACGTTGTCATTTATATTGAAATTCTGTGACATGTTGTCTCAACCGCGGTATGAGCAATCGCTTTTTTTTCCTTGGAACGAGGAAGAAGAGAAAAAAGAGGCACACGAGTGCGAGCGTCAGATACAACTGGACAAGATACGTAAAGAGGCGGTGCTGGTAGCCCTCGCATTCGCTGCGCGCGACATAGCCTTGCCCGCTTCTAACGCGGTCCAAGCTTAATTGCATGTCAGACCGCGGTGAATACCGTAAAAACCGTTATGGGTGTCGCTAGTGCTTTTAGTTAATTTTAGTTACCTGGCGAGGTAAATTGAAACCGCTATTTTTGGCTCTCTAGGCAGCAGCCAAAATACACTCCACTAAAATTATTA